CCACCCCACTCATCTGTTAAGATCCTCAAGAGAGATCTTTTTTAACAGCAGGTTATGAATCATCTTCATGATGTCTTTAAATGGATGATCAATACTATATTTTCCCATAAAATGTTTGGTTTGAAATCCGATTTTAAGTGCATTAGAGTTTTTGTGCACCGAATGGGTGAATGCCATAATAAATTGTCATCAAATATGAAAGAAATATAGTGTAGATTAATTGCCATATTTATTTATGAGTCTATAAAATACCTTGTGAAAGTCCTGGCACATTTTTGGGATACCAATTTGAACCTTCAGGAAAGTTAAAAGCATTAAAAGAGACTGCAAGGAGATTTATTATCAGAATGTTTTTAATTGCAGAACTCAAGCAGACATGCAGGTATTAGAACGGCTGTGCCCTTAATGGGCACGTCTCATGTGATTTTCTTTTTCTCACTCTCACTCACTCTTTTTTTCTTTTAAAAAAATGATATACTTTCCATATTTTTATTGATTTGTGAAGATTTGTTGTAAATTACCATGGCCAGCACGTGACATTACAAATGGTCCCAGCTTCCCTAAAGTAGTGGGCCTCAGGTGGCACAAAAAAGAAGCCTCCTGGCCGGTTCTAATGCTCAGCTTTCAAAGTATGAGAAAGCACAGAGACAGAGAAGACTAGCGATGCCGCTAAGAAGACGAAAATGTATATGACTTGAAGCTGCTCATTTTTAATTGAAGCTTTAAAGTCTATAGCAGTAAAATCCTTTTGGGGGAAGCATGACAAAATATCATTCTTATAAACTGCATATTAGCAATGTGTCAGTGAGAGAGTTGTATGCAAAAACACACAGCCCAACTATAGCCAGAACGCAAGAAGAGAAACATTGCGACTTCCTTCCTATTTGTCTGGGTCATGATTCTATTCCCTAGGATCACTCCTAGGCCCTGCCACATAAGGTGAAAGGGGGCACGGCATCTTATCCCAGTGAGTCCCTGCATGTTTTCCCTTTAAAGTCTTTCTGGCATGCATTTCTTTCCCAAAGACTTAGGCTCCCAACACTGTTCCCTGATTTTCATACATCTGTTGCTGACGTTAAGGTTTAATTCCTTAAAAACACATCAGATGCCTTGAGCTTATCACTAGAAAGATGTCCTCATTCACAGGATAAAAATAATCGAGAATCGAGAATTTTTATACATAAAACTGCTTTGAAGGTAAGAAGTTAATGCAGCAAAACCCTCAACCTAATGATGCAAAAAACAAAGATATTTAAAATCCTCTTCCTGAAAGTAGTAACTAAATTCTATGAATTGTTTTTAAACCAGTGTAAATACAGAGACACTATCTTGGCTGGATTTTTTTTTTTCAGCAGCTGTTTGAGTTTTTTATATACCTATCAGTCACAGCTGGGTCTGTTTGCTATTTGCTATTTAATTAATGATTCACATAAAATTTCAAAAACTCCCAAATTATTACATAAGCTGTTTCATAATACAGATTGATACAGAAGCAAGTGATACATACTTTGAATTTGTTTTCTTACAGTAGCATTTCTTTGGATATTTTCCCTGCTAAATTATACTGTATAATCACAGCACACAAAATGTGAATTCACACAGTCCAATTGAAATTAACAACATCTTCTGGCTGTGTCTGGATTTATATATATATTTGAAATATATATGTTTACATATATGTTTGAAATACCCCAAATCAGCAGGTCTCAATTCTGTTCTCTCCTCTGCCATCTCCGTGGCTATGTGGTCTTGAATTTCCTTCTCGCCACTCCAATACCTATATCGTGAGCTTGAAATAAGATAAAGCAGAGGAATGTAGGAAAGCTCCCAAGCTCACAACAAATACAGTGGAATTTTATTATTATTAACATGTTCTATCAATTTTAACTGTTAACTCAAGTACAATGCTGACAAACCAGGATCTCGGTATTCAGTCTCATTTTTTTACTTTATCCCAGAGAAGTTAATTCTTTCTTTCTGTTTGCCACCTTTCTGACAAGAGACATCAGCACTCTCATCTGGGAATTATTGCCTTTTTATTTTCTCCTCCTGATGCCACAGTTGCTGTTGACAGTATGTATTCAGGCAAGGCAGAGACACAGCGTTTCACAATCAGATGCCATGCACACTACTTCCGTCAAAACAATTAGTGTTCATTTCGGCTTTACGCGGCGAGACCTGCGGTGACTGATCAGTATAAATTATAGATGCATCTGTCCAGATGCACTTGTTCATTCATGCATAGATTTGAGGAAATTTTATTCTTCTCAGTTCAAAAACAGTCACTCAAAAAATTCCATACTTAAAAAATACAATTTAGCACATTTTCAACCCTGTTATTATACCCATGTACTCACTCATTCCATCTGTGATTTGAGGCATTTGAAGTTGAAGTTGATTTGGGGGCATTTCTAGGTTGTTCGTTTTCTCCCTGTAAAATCTGATGCCTTTATAAACCATTAGGAAATCATAGACTTTTTTTAACCCAAAATAATGAAATATGGTTTGTTTTCAATCTTTGCTTGTTTGTTTGTTTGTTTTTTGTGGTACTTGCATTCACATGTATTGTCCAAAAAATGCAGGCTTTACTCTGCCTGCTCAAGAACCGCAGTACATTTAAAGCAAAGTAATAAGCGCTTCAAATAAACATTGTGGATTAGCACTTCCTCTGATCCACATAGGCCTTTGACGGTTTACTTTGTTTCATATTTGTTTTAATGAGCAGCTAGAGGAACTATAAGGCATGTTGCACAATACAACAAAAGAATCTATATCATTGTTTAAAATACTTTAGGTTGGAATGACTCCCCTAAATATCACAGGGAAGGTCCGTATTTGATGAATTTATTTACTTGCTTCAATAAAATTCTATGTGTACACATACAATTGGGGATTTTTCTCTGAAACAAAATTAATCAGTGCTGAACAAAGCAATGAAAAGCTGTGGTGGAGAAGCCCAGGGCTGCCGAAGTGGGAGCCTGGGAACCATCAGGAGGACGAAAGAAAATTCCACTACAGATTTCCTGAATCAGACTTTCCAAGAAACAGACATCTTCTCACCTGAGGTTTCCACCAGACAGAGGATGATATTGGCTTAACCTACTGCCTTTGCTTTGTTATGAGAGACCCAAAATAACAAGAAGAGTGGGTGCATTTCATTAAAAAAACCATTTTCAGGGAACCCCACTCAATGCTCGAGGTGGTAACAATTAAATGTCAGCAACACAAGGGAGATTTGCTGTGGGTGCAGCCTCTTCCTGAGAAGGAAATACTAATCGAGCTCCCCCAAGGCTGGAAAACCAGGGAGCCCGGGCAGGCCTTCCTTCCTGGGAAACATTCTGATTGAAGCCACAAAAATCACAAAGCAACTTTGAAGACAATAGAAAAGGTGCTTTAACACAAAATCCACTTTTTTTGTTTGTTTTCCTTTTCCACTGAAGAAGAAAAATGCCGAGGTATCTTCATAATCCTCCCCATTTCCTTCACCACTGCCCCTTATCCTTTTCTTTTTCTTTTTCAAAATTGTGTTGCTTTTCTCTAATCCTGGAGAGAACAGACAAGAAGTAGGCCTGGAGGCCCTGCACACAGCATTGATACCACAGAGGTCTTATAAATCAGCTGAAAATCAATAATTCCTATATGGTAGTTTCTCCTTTGCAACAATATCGCCAGGGGACAGGGCTAATGCTTTTTCTCCACCACCAGCCCCATTTTTCTGTCATAAAAAAAAAATCTGCTTAGGAACAAATGGGCAATCAAAGTTGCTGAGTAAGTATTTCGACTATCTAATTTTATTACTTTACAATTGACATACCTTCCCTCTGGAAATGTTTGCAATTAATTAATTAGCAGTAATCTTCCCCAAGGGATGAATTTAATGAATACTCTCCAATTCTTACTTTTAAAAAAATAGCCTAGATGTATCCAAGCTGCAAATGTGGATGACTCCGAAGTGCATTTTGAAAAATCAAGGGATCTATCTATTACGATGAATTTTTATCACTAAGTCAATTTGGCAATGACTATCATTCTTTTTCTAACTAGGATTTTCCCGGGTTGAACGCAAGGTTTCTCCAAGGTAACAGCACTCGTCAGTAGCAGCTGTGTTTGTTAGTATTTAGAATGGAGCTTGTCCTCGTGTTAATAATCTCTTAGGCAGAGGAGTCTGTGGTTTGTGGCTTCTTTAAACTCATTGCGCGGTCTGCAGAAAGTGTAAAGAAAAAAAGGGAGGGTCAGGGAGCCAGAGATGCCATTCTAAAAAGGTCACTGGCTACTGGGCCTACCAGTCTCCCGTGCAAGGTGCCAGAGGAGAACTCGGGGGGTGAAGGAGTCCTTAGCCAGGACCCCAGACCTTGCCCTTGTCGCAAGAACCCAGAACTGTTTCTATGCTCTGGGCCACACATGCTTGCGTTTCAACTAGACAATAAAACAGGACCCTTGAACCAACCCCCCAAGGATCCTGGGGGAGTAGCAGCAAGAGCCTGGGAGAGCGTTTTATAAAGTGTAAAGCGCGGTGACCTCATGAGAGGCAAGGCTTTCTGAGGTTTCTGGCCTGCAAACCCCGCCGGATCCCGGCAGCGATCTCCGAAGACCCTTCCCCCACCAGACGGACAGTCCCATTTCGCCCCTAGACATCGTGGTTGGCGGCCCTAAGAAGGGCGGCAGAGGCCCGGGGATTAAGCCTGCAGACGTGCAGTCTACATTGCTCACAGACTGGTGGTCCTCTGTCCCAGGGCCAGGCCTAGAGGACGCAGCCCCCTCCTGGGCACCAATGCGCCTCCTCGCCCATCAGGGCTCCTTTGAAGAGCCCTGGGATGGGGTGAGGGGTGGTCAGACCGCTGGGCCCAGCCGGGCGTCCGGGCGGAGCGCCGGGAATGGGCCGCCCACCGGAGCGCTCCACTGCGGCTCTCCAGCGCCACCCCCAGCAGAGCGCACCGGTTGCAGCCCGGCCCGGACGCCTTCCTCGGGCTCCCTGGCTCCCCCGCGAACGCAGCGGGCAGCGCACACGAGGCAGCCAAGCCTCGCCTTCCGAGGAGATGCCCAGGGATCTCAGCACTCAGTCGGTGGATGCCAGGGGTCAGACTTGGCGCGTTTCCAGACCGCATCTGAGACATCCTGAGCCTCGGCCTCGAGGGGGCGCTATTCGGCCTAGTCGAGGATCAAGCGGCTGCCAACAAGCCCCGAGGTCAAGGCCCGGGCCACCACCAGGACTTGGAAGGCCGGGATCCAGACAGAGTCCTGGGGAGACTGAGGCGGGGAGCCAGATCCCCGAGGACAAAGATGGGCGGGCCAGTGGAATCCGCCGAAGCTGCCCAGAGCTGCTCCGAGGAGCGCAGGGCCTGTGGCTCGAACAAACTTTCCGGCGGCGGAGGGGCGGAGGAGCCGGGCTGGAGGCTTCTCCCCCGAGCCCCTGCTCTCCTCCACCTGCCAGCGCTCAGCCTCCGCCCAGCCTTCGCCCACCCCCGTTTCCTCCCCCTCCCCGCGCGCCTCTGTTCACTCAGACTCCTCATCTCTCTCCTCTCCCCTCCTCCTTCTCCCTCTTGCCTTTCTCCCTCACTTTTCTCCTGTCTCTTCTTTTGTATTCTCTCCTCCCTCGCCGCCCCGGTTGCCTCTCGCCTCCTCGGGGCCGCAGAAGAGGAGGTGAGCGCGCTGCGCCCGGGGCCTGCGCGGCGCAGAGGGAGGCGTTTCTCCTACTTCTCCCGGGTAATTTGGAGATTGTATGTGTGCGCGCGCGCGTGAGGTCGAGGCGAAAAGGGGTAGGATCCAGCGCCAAGCAGAGAGGGTCAGGGTCTTGACGTTCCTCGCCAGCTGCACAAACCTCCCGGAGCAAGTGTGAGTGTGGGTGAGAGTGCGCGCGCGCGCGCACGGGCTGGCTGCGCTTGGCACGCTTGGTGGCCCGGGGCCCCGGGGCCCGGGGTCCCGTCTGGCGGCCCGGGATTATCGTGACGTCAGATTGAGCCTCTGGCCACCTTGGACTGGGACACCTCGGGAGCATCACAGCCCCGCGCCGCGCCTCTCCTCGCCACCGCGCGCCTTTGGGAACCGGCACCTTCTTCCTTCTCCTGCCCATCCATGGGCCCTTCTGTCTTCCGGACCCCACGGGCCAGAGGGGCGCCTTCCGGAACGCACGGCTTGGCAGCCCGGCTGCCCTCGGCTCTGCCTCCACTCGGGCCAAGCAGGCAGACCAACTGGCGCTGGGTACCCGAGGCCGTGTAAGGAACCGAGGCGCCGCACAGCTGGGGGCGCCGAGTCGCGGGGCTGAGACGGGAACTCGCAAGGGAAGAGGAAGGCTGGCCGGGGACCGCCACCATGTCCTTCCCGCACTTCGGACACCCATACGGCGGTGCTTCCCAGGTAAGAGGCGCCTCTACGGAGATAAGGGACAGACCGGGCGGAGAGGGTGCCCAGTGCACACGCCTACCCCTGAGCCTCCTCGTCTCGTGTCCCGGGGGGAAGCCAGAAAGAGCAAGGACCAGGTCATGTCACAGCCTCCTCTGACATCCCCAACCCCAAAATACGAACGTCTTACTCCGGAGTGCATGCGGAATATCGTGTGACCCGAAACGTGGGTGCTCTGACCACGCGCTCAGCGAGGTGGGTGGGATCTCAGCGATCTTTCAACCAGGCCTCCTCCTATCCCGATGTCTGAGGTGGCCAGAAGAGGCTTAGAGGGGGGAAAAATGATTCCCAGGTTCGCAGGCTAGAGCAGCGGTCCATCTCACCGTATTGTTGGTTTGTCGACCTGCGTGTGTCCTTAGCTTAACCCCTCCTCGGGCGGGTCCAAGCTCTCTGGTTCCCTCAGTTTCCCTAACCAAAGTGGGTGTTGTGCAAAGACAAGGGTTTCCCAGAAGAGTTCTGCGGACACCCACCACTGTTCTCCAGTTTCCTGAGCTCCGGGTGTCTTTTCCCAGGATCTAGTACTAGTTCAACCTCTGACCTGCTGTGTGACCTTGGACAAGTTGCAGGCTCCCTCTGGCCCTCGATTCTCTATCCATAAGATGGGAGTAGGAGTGAGGCGATGGTGGGTCTCTAAGGCTAACTTCTAGCTCCGCCTTTGAGGGATCCTGTGAGAAGTGTAGGGAAGGGGGCGGGGGAGTCGGCGTCTTTAATTCGGGTTTCAGAACGTTCACATTTCCCTGCCCCCTGGGACTCTCAGGCGGTAGCAATAGCGCAGGCGCATCTATAAGGACAGTTCGGAGAAACCCGTCCCAGAACCTAACAGAACGCTCAGCCAATGGTGGCATTTATTAAGGTAGAATTAAGGAATGAATGAAGGAGCGATCTGGGTTTGCCCTCCTTGTGCCTAGGCCCCGCCTGCCGGAGGCGCGGGCCTCTGACCTCCCGTGCCCCCTCTCTCGCCCCTGTAGTTTCTGGTGTCTGCAAGTTCTAGCGCCACTTGCTGCGAATCCAGCCCGCGCTCGGTCTCAGACGTGGCCTCCAGCTCCGCCCCGGCGCCCGCTCTCTGCTGCGCACCCTACGACAGTCGGCTGCTGGGCAGCGCGCGGCCGGAGCTGGGCGCCGCCTTGGGCATCTACGGAGCCCCATACGCAGCCGCTGCGGCTGCCCAGAGCTACCCCGGCTACCTGCCCTACGGCCCGGAGCCGCCCGCGCTGTATGCGGCGCTGGTGAGTCCGTGGGGTGGGGCCTGGGGTTGTGCGCCGCCGGGTCACGCGGGACCCTGGGGGCAGGAGCTACAGCAGCGGGTGAAACCCTGTGGAAACCCAAGAGGCACGCACGACTCCGAGGAAGCAAAATGGTTAGGGCTGTGCATAAGGAAAAAAATGTAGCCTACAGTACTTTACAGTTTGCAGAACTCCACACTTTAGAAAACATTAGCACTTCTGATGATTTGCCTGCCTCACTGGTGAATTCTGTGAGGCAGGCAAATCATCACTAATTCCAATTTACAGACACAGAATTTGAAGTGCAAAAGGGTTCAAATACTTTACCCAACGTCACAAAGATACAGAGTCAGAGAGAGGTCTGGAGGAGAGTGGGCAGAAGAGCCCCAGCTGGTGTATGCGATGGGGGTGGGGGCACACGCCTAGAACAGTCATAAATAGCAGCGAATATTGCTAATTCTGCACCAGGGATTCTGCCAAGTGTTCTCTGTCTGAGTAGTCTTCTTCAATAACTCTAAGTACTACTGTTATCCTCACTTTACCACGGGAGAAACTGAGACACAGAGAGGCTAAACAACTGTGCCAAGGTCACACAGCGGGCTTGAGTAGTGGTACCAGGATCTGAGCCAGACTTGACCCCAGAGTCCAAGCCCTGAGCCACCACCCATCTGCCTTTTCCCCACAGGTAACCCCCAGCTCTCTGTTCCTCTCCCACCAGAATCCACAGTATGAATTTAAGGAGACTGCAGGGAGTTTTACACCTGGCCTGGCACAACCAGGAGCCTATTATCCCTATGAGCCGACTCTGGGGCAGTACCAGTATGACCGGTAAGAAGTGGGGCACCAGGGTGGCTGGCACAGCACATCCTTCCTCCTTACCTGCCAAGGTGGGATGGATGGGGGAAAGAGGAAACGAGGAGGGGAGCAGAGCCATACTTGCAGGCCGCAGGCTGTCCTCCACCCGCAGCCCCTTGTTCCCAGCCCAGAGCTTGAGCCCAGCTCTCCTAACAGGTATGGTGGGGTGGAGCTGAGTGGCGCTGGGCGCCGGAAGAACGCCACCCGGGAGACCACCAGCACACTGAAGGCCTGGCTGAACGAGCACCGCAAGAACCCCTACCCCACCAAGGGCGAGAAGATCATGCTGGCCATCATCACCAAGATGACCCTCACCCAGGTGTCCACTTGGTTTGCCAACGCGCGGCGGCGCCTCAAGAAGGAGAACAAGATGACGTGGGCGCCCAAGAACAAAGGCGGTGACGAGAGGAAGGCAGAGAGTGGCGCTGAGGAGCCGCTAGGCTGCCTAAACGGTGATACCAAAGGTACTGAGCATGTTCACCGTCCCACCCTGTGGGTTTTACAAGCCATCAGGCAGCTTGGTCTTTCCAGGCCACCTTGTGGGGTGGATTTTCTGGATGGTGCTGGCGCCAACTTTTGCAGTCGCAATCTCCCGCTTGCCCCAGGGCCTTTGCCTGTGCACCTTCTCAACTTCAGTGGGCCACCTCCCAGAGGTCTACCCTCCTCACCCAAGCCAAAGCAGCATCTCAGTCATTCTCTATCACTCCAGCCTGTCTTATTTCCTTGACCATTTTTACTACCTTGGGAACGTTCACATACCCAATGTCTGTCTCCCCTTTCTAGAATGCCATCACCACTGGAAATCTTGCTGCGGTAGGCTCTACATATACCTAAGATCTCAATAATGTCAAGCACATAGTAGGGCTCAGTAAATAGTTGCTGCATTAAATGCTATAAAAGTAGATGCCTGTAGATGTTGAGGTTGGGTAAAAACTGAGCTCCGGGTTTTCATATTTGAGAATCTGAGATCCAGGACTCAGCGCCCAGGGGTGTTTCCGTGGCTTGTAGTTGCAGGGAAGAAGGGGTCACAAAGATGTAGGAACAGGGCTGGGGCAGAAACCCCTTCCCAGGGGCAGGCTTCCAACCCCGGGGACAAGTGTAAGGGACGGCATGGCAGGCCTGGTGAGTTACACTGCAGATGCCCGGAGGGCAGGGCGCGCCTTGCTAAAAGCTTCTCCGGGATGGGCACTCCTGCGGATTTCCCTTGGGCCCTAGGGCTTTTCTCACTCGCTCTTGGTTTCCTGCAGACGTTACTGCTAGCCAGGAGCGCCGGGGGCTCCAGCTGAGTGACCTGGAAGACCTAGAGGAAGAGGAGGAGGAGGAGGAAGCTGAAGAAGAGGAGGCGGCAGCCACGGCGGATAGGCTGGCAGAGTTCCATAAGGGCGCGCGGTCGCTGCCTGGGCCGTGCACCGCAGCTCGAGAGGGCCGGCTGGAGCGCAGGGAGTGCGACCTGGCCGCGCCCCGCTTCTCCTTCCACGAGCCCTCGGAGTCGGGAGAAGCTGACTTTCTCGCGGCCGAGCAGGGCGGCCCCAGGTTGACCATGCACTATCAGTGCGGCGAGAAACCGCGCATCTGGTCTCTGGCGCACACTGCGGCAGCCAGTGCTGTGGAAGGCGCACCCCCAGCCCGGCCCGGGCCACGAAGCCCTGAGTGCCACATGGGTCCCGAACAGCCCCTATCCTCCAACGGACGACCTGCGGTCCTCAGAGACTCCGCGCGCGACGAGTCTTCCCGCATAGCCAAAGCCTTTGGAAGCTCCAGGTTTGCCCTGCAGGGGCTGCCGCTGAACTGTGCGCCGTGCCCGCGGAGGAGGGAGCCTGCCGTGCAGTGCCAGTACCCGTCTGGAGCAGAAGGTAGTGAGCCCCCGACAGCACTGGGAGCGTCTGTCCACAAGACACCCACCCTCCGCCTAGCCAGCCATGGCATGCCCTCTCTACCTCTCCTTCATGCCCAGGCGCAGGCCTGGCAGAGGAGACCCTGCCACAGCACTCCTCCAAATGAGGCTTAGAGACAGAAGTTCTAGTGTTCTCTCATTTTAATGATAAACTCAGGGAGACAGTAATTTTCCCAGAATCACTTAGAAAGTCATTGACGAGATGGACAACCCAGGTATCTGCCTTAGGGTCCAGTGTGCTGCCTAACTGACCCAGTGTGCATTGCCACGCCCCTCGAACACAAGCACCCTTGCTCTCCTTCCCACCACCACATCCCTTCTGAGGAGGCCAGCTGGTCCTCTGCGGTGCTGATTCCAGCGTTTTCTAGGGCTGGAATGGCACCAGGACTGTTACAGAAGTCCAAGGAAGTGGCCAGATGCACACCATGGGTTTAAGGGCAGTGCTTAAGCAGTGCTTGTAGCCGACTCTGTGGCCCGCTCAAATCCTGGAGCTGAAGACATGCCCCTGCATTTGGCAGCTTCAGGCCCAAGATCGGTGCAGTCCCCAGAGAGAGAGCACTCATCTGCAAGGGCTCATCCCCAAGCAGGCCATGACTTCCAGTCAGTGTTCCCCGGCTCCGGCTGTGTTAAGGATCTGGTGGAGGGGAATTTTGCCCAACAAAGGGACATTCCCCAAACATTAGGCAGCCTGCAGCAATTACTGTCAGATTCTGCTCTTTGTAGTAATTTCTCTCCGGATTAGCTGCTGGCTTAGAAAAGTGGGTTGCAGTGTTGTTTGAATTTTACACGTAATGGGCCCAAGCGTTGCCTCTGGCAGACAAAATGCCTCTAGACCTTTGCCTTCAGATGAGATATGGCTGACCTCCGGTTTCCTAAGAATTGCCACCAGGCGGCCTTCGGGTTTTAATCAACCTTTCCTCTCTCAGCAGGTTAGCGCAATGGCTGCGATTTGCTGAAGGATCTTGGAAATGAGCCCCACTTTTGCAACTCACCTCCACGTTAAGAAGCTGCGAGACCTCGCCAGGGACCAGGAGCTCTCACCTCACCTAAGAGACAGACACAGAAACCCCCTTAGCTGCTGTCCTTGCACGCCGAGCTGGAGGTGGTGGACAGACTTGAATCTTGTCAGATCCCCCCGGGGAGGTGGAAGGGCACCTGGGGTTAGGCTGAGTGGGAGACCGGGCGAATCTGCTCAGAGCACCGACCCCACCAAGTCTCCCTGTCTCCTCTGGATTCAGGGCCCGATGCCGCTTCCTCTCCTGCTCTCACCCCTGCCCCTCACTCCCCCCCCCACACACACTTTATAACCTCATCGCTGATCTGACCCCCAAGGACCACATGCGTCTCTTCCCCCTCCCCACCCCTTGTGTCCTTAAAAAGAACCAGTCGGAACCCATGCTGTGTGGCCTATCTGTGCCAGGAGGGCTGGAGCGGTCGGGGTGGAGGCAAGGATGGAATGTGGCCCGGGGCTCTGGGGGGAGCGCGGCATGCGCCGCAGACCTCAGCCCCTTCCACGGCGCGGAGGGAAACTGACGAGGTAACTGAGGAGGCCGTGACGCCAGTCGCGTAGCCCACCAGACGCGGCGCTACCGACCCCGCGGAGCCGGGCTGGCCACACCGCTGGTTCGTGTGCGTGGAGGTGGTGGGACACGTCAGGTTGTTTAGAAGCTGCATTTGTTTCCGGGTTCCTACTTGGGTTTTCATTGTACTGGGGGGAGGGGTGACGGGGACCGCGCTCCTCCCGGGGAACCGAACCCAGTGGCGAAGTCGGGAAGTGTGCGGGGTGGGCCCGAGGCGAGAGGGAGCATTCTTTCCGTTTGATCAAAAGTGTCAGCAAACACTTCCGGTACAGGCCAACCAATGGGAGCTGACGGGCAGGGAAGGGGGCCTAGTGCCCCTAGCGAGCGGGGTCGGGGATGAGAGCTTTAAAGAGGCCGGCGTGATACCGGCGGGTGGAGGCTGCGTGAGTGCGCACCCCGGGTCTAGCGGCTTCGGTTTTAGCCAGAGATTGATGTTCGCAGGGAAAAAAGGACTCGGGGCAGGGCCCTAGGCGGGAGCTCCCGGAGCAGATGGGGCGGGAAGGCGACTTGGGTGCGCGCCGAAGGGCTGGGTCTCCGATGTTGGGCCCCTGGCCGGCTGCCCGGGCCTTCGCACCAGCGCGGATGCCAGACCATCGGTCACTGGAGTCTGGGGTGAGAAGGGTCCTCCTCCTCCGCTGGAAAACTGAAAGGCCCCTGGAGGCTGAGAAGGGGAGAGGCAGGGCTTAGGAACACGGAGGGGAACGGAAGCAGGGCGCCACCTCCAAGCTCCCCACCTCTTCTTTTCCACTGCAAAGACCCCTTTGGAATCGGAAGGGACTTTAGTGATCAGAATGACAAAAACACAAACCTCCTCTTCAGATGAAGAAGCTGTGGCCAAAGGAGAGGGCTGGGACTGACTCAGGGTCACACAGGTCCGTGGTGGAGACCGGCCCTAGCTTTCCTTTCAGGGTCCCAAGTCCTCCTTGGACTCCAGCTAGCCCACCTTCCCTCTCCTCTCTGGCTTTCCCTGGGAGACCTCCTACACCTGACCCCCCCCCACCCCACCCCCGCTTTCGTTTTGTTCCTGGACAACAGCTGCTCCCACCCCCAACCTCCCCAGGGACACTCCAGTCGCCCTCGATGACCCGCGGCTTAGGATCCGGAAAATTAAACTGCGAAAAGATAAACATTATTTCCAGTCGGCTTTTCGGGATTAACGCTTGTAATAAAGAGCATTAGCTGGAGGTTTCTTTCAAGGCGCTCTCGACCCCACCCCCTCCAGGGGGACCAGGTGGACCCCTCCGGACTCAGCAGAGGCTTCATTTCTAGGGCCCCCAGTTGAGAGTGGGGACCCAGCTAGCCCTTGTGTGGAGGGAAGAGGGGTCCTTAGAATTCCACTGAGTCAACACTTGGAGATGAGAAACTTGAAGCCAGATTGAAGAAGGGACCTTACCTAGACCCAGGTCATATGGCTGAGCAGAGTCTAGGAAACAGAGAGTAGGGGGCGGGGAGAATGTCATCTGCACACAGCCACAGCCTTATGCGGGAACAGGTAACCTGGGAGAGGAGGCCTCCTGGGTTACCCTACCACACCACTCAGGATCCTAGGTTTTCTCTCCAGCTGCAAGAAACATCTCCTGCCTGGGTGGCTTAGCCCCTCTTCACCTCTCCCAGCCCAGAGCATGAGCCTGCAGACTCAGGTGGTCTCAGATCTAAGCCTAGTTGGCTGCAGACAGTGGGTGCTAAGAAGGGACTGGAACCCCAGAAGCTTGCTCTATCTTTTCAGTTGCCTAGTTAAGTGGCAAGCCCCTTCCCTCTCAGTTCCCCAGCTGTAAAATACAGGGGTGAATAGTTCCCCATCCGGGCGCTCAGTGTCTCCTCCAAAGCTGATGGTGAGCTCCAGGGGTACAGGGAAAGGGCCTGAGAATGGCACGTCTGAGCCTGTGATTATCCCAGCCCCAGTGACAATCTGTTCCCGCCATCTCTGCCCCCACTGAGAGCCTCCTGCAAATCTCCCAATATAATCTCCCAGAATCATATTTTGAATACAGTTTTGATTAAACACCAGAGCAAGGGGAGGGAGGACACAGCCCTATTCTCCTCAGCTGAGCCTGCTGGTGCCCACAGACAGCTGGACCATGAACACCGCGAGTGTTCGTAACAGCAGGAAGGTGAGGTTCTCAGTATGGAGAATTTCCAACTCCCTCCATGGCTAACATGCCCCTTCCCTCAGCTGGGCAGCCAGCAGGGGCTAGGTCTCACAGAGGGGAGGGGAAGCTATGCAGGGGAGCCCCACCCTACCCGATGTCTTCTTTCCTTCATTTATTCCTCTCCTGCCAGGTGTCACTAAATGGGCATTGGGCTCACTAGAGGATCCATCCCTATGCCTGCTTATAGCTCTAAGAGCCTCTGACCCTATTAATGGTAGCAACTTCTGATGTCCTTACCATGTGCCAGACACATGAATGCCACATGTTTTCATCTGTTTGGACTGCTATATTACAGAAGACCCAAAACTGTGAGAGTTATTAACAATGGAAAAGTATTGCTCAGATTTCTGGAAACTGGAAAGTTCAAGATCAAGTTGCCAACAGGTCCAACGTCTGGTGAGGGTCTGCTTCCTGGTTCATAGACAGCACCTCTGCATCCTCATGGGGTAAAAGGGGAGAGGGAACTCTTGGAGGTCTCTTTTTGCAGTTGCTAATCTCATTCCCAAGAGCTTCATACTCATGACCTAACCTTCTCCCAAAGGCTTCACCTCCAGATACCATTACATTGGAGATTTGATTTCAAAATATTCATGTTGAGGGGACACACAGAATTTGTCTGTTATACCAAGTCTTTTAAATGCTGACTCACGTATATCACAACAGTCTAAGGAAGCATTACATTAGACCTGCCAGTATGCCCAGCTAATGAATGAAGAAACAGTTCAGAGGGGTATGTAACTCGATGCCAGTTATCCAACTACCAAGTAAAGAAGGCAGTCTCTGTAAGACTGATTCTCTAACCACTAAGCTCTACTACTAATGCATTCTATTATTTTAAGATTATTTTATTCAATTATTAATAAGAGCACATGTTTCCAAGACTCTAAATGTCTAGAGTCTGTGATTTCATGCTCTGAACTCCTTGGTTGCCCTCTTTTCCTCTCCAGGACTTCTGGTGCCCCCTGGGAACACCTCTACATTCTAACCAGGTGCATCCTCTACCTATTCTATTGCCCACATTTCCCTGGGACATGCTGTCTGGGACACTTGTGGTCAGCAATTGGCAAAACATAGCCAATCCTACCATCAAAATCAGCCCACGACTCAAGAATCACACTAGGAGGTGGAGGTGGACTGGGAGGCCTGCTTTTTTGATGAGCACTCCAGGTGGACTGATGGGCCCCCTGACCCACGTAGTGGTGGCTGAACTCCAAGCAGCCAGCCTCTAAGCTCAGCAGGAGGCTGAGGGCTTAAGACACCTGCTGTGGGCCAGGAGTAAATCACATCCCAGGAACAGGTGCAAACGTGTCCTCCAGGATTTAATCGAGATCCACATTCAATCTCTTCATCTGGTTCAGCTCTTTTTGTTTTTTCCATCCAAAAGCTCAAAAGTTTGTTGTTATTGGAGGGGGAAGAGACCTAGGAAGTTAACTCACCTCTCCGCACTGCCTGAAGACCTTTTAGGATTCCAGGGTTAGAAGTCCCTGAGCACCCTCCCACCCCATACCTTTGTGTGCAAGAGAGCTCTGTCCCCAAACATGAACATGCAGTCAAGAATCTGTACACATCCAGGGAAAGCCACTAGGAAGGAAAAGCAATATCTTAAACAAATAAAAAACTAATGAGACTCTCCACCTGGCTATCTCTGTCACAGCCAGTGGCAGAAAGTTCTTTATGTTCTGAATTAAGTTTTTTCTCCATGTAACTTTTGAAAGTTGTCTCCTGCACCAAGTCTTAGACTTCCCCATGACTCATTATTTTTCTTATCTTCTCTGTCCCTTCCTTCCACCCCTGGTGGGACTTATTTTGCCCTTATTCTGGGATCAGAGTAAGAAATGGAGTCTGATGGGCATCTCCCAATTATAGGGCAGAGACATTATGTGACAGAAGCATCATTTTCTTCATTAAAAGTTAAGCTGTGGGGGACAGAGGAACAGTGACCTGAATCCTTGGGCAAGTCCCCAAATGTCTCTAAGACTCAGCATTCTCTTGGTAACCTGGGATGTGACTCTTTCATAAGATCTACAGTTCCCTCACCTGGCTGCTATAGGGACAAAGGTTTAATTCAGTGTTACCCACACTTTGGTGGGTGGCAAGAGTTGGAGAGTTGTTAAAGGTAAGCTAGCACCAAACAAAAACTTCTCTTTCGTGTAATCTGAAGATTGAAAGAGATTTGAAAAGGGAATAATCTGGGTTATTCTGAGATTCAGAATTATTTAATGCCATGACAAGCCCACATCACCAGTGATGCAGTCTACTTTTTGATGAATTAATCTGTATTGATGTATGTGACCACTGTTTATGGGCTCATCAGACACTGATGTCTTTCCTCATTGAACTTCTCTCATTCGGGCTGTCTCCCAATTTCAACCAGGTTTTATTTAAAGTCTTGTGAAACCTGATCAAGCGCAATGATGCTAACAATGATGATGAGGATGAATCTAGAGCCATAGTTCCCAACGCTAGTGGTGCATACAGTTAGTCAGGGGTTGTCATTTGTTCTGTTTTGATTCTTAGTGCCAGTACCCAGGCAGTACCATAGGCCAATTAAATCCAATCTCTAGGGATTTTTTAAAGTTCCCAAGCAATTCTGATGTGCAACCAAGATTGAGAACCCAGTGCACTACAACCAAGCTGTTTCTCTTTCCCACCTCTGCATTTTCTGGAT